CCATAAGTTGATAATTAGTATAAGCCTCTGGACAATTATTTTATATGCAGCTGCAGGACCTCAGGGCCAGGCATGACATAGGAAAACTTCCAGCTACAGTCAAAGTGTTATATGTGTACATACTGTGTATGTCTCTCTTTGTGCTGTAGTGATCATGGCTAAGTCTGCTAAACTTTACCTTTTAATTCATTAAAATGGTTTTGGTAAATTATTCTTTTAATTAAAAAAATGATTCCTCGAAACACACAAACACTTCTCAAGGAGAGTACTTCACTCCACAGAGCAGACTGGCCTCTATCTCAGAGACCCACTTGCCTTTGCCTCTCAAGTGTTGGGAATAAAGTCATGCACCACTACTACTCAGCCATAGTATTTTTTTAATCTATAAGAATTATTTGGCCAGGCGGTGGTGGCACATGCCTTTAATCCCAGCATTCAGGAGGCAGAGGCACTCAGATATCTGTGAGTTGGAGGCCAACCTGGGCTACAGAGTGGGTTCCAGGAAAGGCACAAAGCTACACAGAGAAACCCTGTCTCCAAAACCAAAAAAACCCCAATTATTTGAATTAATTGAAGATTTAATAGTCCCTTCTCTGTTGCATATTCCCTGACAGTCAGATATTTGTTTATATTACCACTAATATGTATTTAAAATATATTATTTAAAATAGAACCTAGTTTAAAAAATAGAACCTAGTTATAGTACAATGTATCAAATAACCTCCAAAATGTCATCTATAATTTTAAAACTTTAAAAAAGAAGTGTGGCCTCTGATGTGGTCTGATCTTCAGGATCTGGGGCACAGGACTTGTGCTCAGTTACTGAGATGAGCAAGTCTTGCAGCTGTGCCCACCCTAACTGGTTCCCAGTGATTTGCATGCACTCACTGCACAGCCTTGAGGACTTCTTCATATACCAGTCACACCCTGTACAGTTGTCAAGGCAGTCAGGACTCAGCATGGGCATGAGGGCCCCTGCTCAGCTCCTTGGGCTCCTGCTGCTCTGGTTACCAGGTAAAAAACAAATATAATGAGAATTTTGCTGTTATATTGTAATTGTTGTTGACAGAAATTTGGGGGTAGTCTTTTTTTAAATTACACTTAACAATGTGGATATATATTATGTCTCCATTCCTAGGTGCCAGATGTGACATCCAGATGACCCAGTCTCCATCCTCCCTGTCTGCATCTCTGGGAGACAAAGTCACCATCACTTGTCGAGCCAATCAGGGCATTAGCAATTATTTAAACTGGTACCAACAGAAACCAGGGAAAGCTCCTAAGCTCCTGATCTACAGAGCATCTAACTTGGACAATGGGGTCCCATCGAGGTTCAGTGGCAGTGGGTCTGGGACAGATTATTCTCTCACCATCAACAGTCTGAAGCCTGAAGACTTTGCAACGTATTACTGTCAGCAACGTGTTAGTACCCCTGCCACAGTGATACAAGCCATAACATAAACCTCAGTGGAAGCAGAAGTGAGAGGCTGGCTGCCCCAACTGTTACTCCTCATGAGTCACTCACTGGAACCATTATCTCATATGTCACACGATTTTTAACAAAGCTCACAGAGGCATATTAGTTTTTGTAAATGTGTTGTGATTTTGTAGAATAAAGAGAGGTTAACTGTCCTCTCTTGACTGTAACTATTTTTCTTTACATTAATCTCTGGCACTAGAGTACTAAAGTGTTTTCTACATTAACCAAGGACACAGTCGTTCCCTGTGAGGAGTCTGAATTTGTATCACTAGTTGGAACCCATACATAACAATGGAAAATCCTGTGAACATTCCAGCACACATTTTAATTAAATATAGAAAAGCAGTTTCTGAGTAGGGAAACTCAGATGTGGTGGTGACAGGAATTTCTACCTAAAACCTGAGAGAACTTAAAAAGAGATTATTAATGTAGCTAAGAGCACCTTCCTAGTTCATTTCACTCATGGCAGGCCAAGGTACAGTGAAGTGTCCCCTGGTTGTTGCTGGTTCGCAGTGTGCTGGCTGGAG